AGTCAACTACAAAGAGGCTTCATTTGTTGTCTGAAACAGTTCTGATGGGGTGCTTTTAGCATTATGTGTTTATGCGACCGCCATTTAGAGATCCAATTACCTGATCTTTTCGCAGAGGTTAGGGGGAGGACATGCAACGGAGTATTTGAGTTGTTGAATGACCGGGAATTAGAGGTTGCTTCTTCCTTCGTTACTTTTCTTGGTAATGGTGAGCATACTTTGAGTTGGAGAAGTAGTTGTGATTGGATTTTCTCAATGGAGTTGTTTAATGTGCTTGGAAAAATAGTTGCAAGCAGTTGGCCAGCTGAATAGTTTATCTAGTCTATCCTTTATTGATGTTGTATGTGCAAATTTTAGACACAATCAGTTTTTCGTGCCTTTATTCATTGAATGGATGCTTAATTTCACATCTATTCATAAGAGCATAAGATTTACAGCTTATTACCACGTTTTAGCAGAAAAAGTTGGTAACACCCTACGTTTAAATAACTTGGTATAGTCCATAGTATTGACGCGCGTCTTTAATAAAGAATAAATGGATTAACAGGATCCATTGCCACAAAACTAATCTACAAATAAGTAGAAAAACTATCAGAAATTGATTTTTCAATTATTATTATTATTTTTTATTTATTTATTTATTTTTTTTACATAAACACACAATAAAAGCTTTTTCAAATCTTTTATTAAAGGATTTATGTATTGAATTTCATTCACCCAATGCTTCAATTCAAAAAAATGAAGATGATTTGATATTAGTTATGTGGTGTGAGTATAAAATCTATAATATTTAGACTCGGTGATCAACTGATGATAGCTGGTAAATTTTAAGGCATTAGTTATTATGACAATTTTGGGCAACTTTACAAATTTTTGTGGTCAAATGTGTCCTAATTACAATTTTTATTAGCATTTTTTTTTGGTTTGACCGAATTCCTTATTTTACCAATGAATTTTTTTTTTTTTTATTATTTATTTAAACAACGAGTTTCATTCATTGTTGAAAGTTTGTCGCAAAAGATTCATCCTGTTTCAGTGATATTTTTAGATGATACTGTGCCCTTAAATGAAACAAAATCAATCTTTCAACATAAGAAAAAAAGTAATTAATTCATTTTCTATATAAAAATTGAAAAGCTAATTAATTCACTAATATGCTCTAATACTTTCCTTTAAGGCCAATACATTGTGATTGCTATAATTCAGTTGGTAAATTTTCATCCATTACTTCTTATGACAACTTTGTGCAACTTTACAGATTTTTGTTGCCAAAATTGTCCTAATTACTATCTCCATGAACTTTTTCTTTGTAGGACCAAATTCCTGAGTTTAGCAACAAGTTCTACTCATAATTACTTCTCAATTATTTTAATTCTACTTAATTAGTTCTCTAATTCAGTCCACTAACATTCTATAATATATACTTATCACTAGGTCATTAACTCAACTGGCATAATCTCTATTCCCTCAAATGCAGGTGAGGGGTTTGAGCTTCATAATGGACATTCGTCAGTGTGTAATTTCTTTCTCCATTAAATTTTTATTTTTTTATTGTGCTCTTAGTGTCCCTCTTTTATCTTACCTGAAAAATTGTCATTAATGACAATATGACAGTCATTGCCGGGTCAGAACACAGTCACTGGCATATTTTAAGTGATATAAATTATACTAGTAATATGAAATTTCCAAAGAACCCAAACCCTTAAATGAAACAAAATAAGAAAAAGAGAGAGAGTAATTAATTCAGTCTCTATTTCAAGTGAATAGTACGTTTCTTTGATTTTAATTTTAGTCCATAATTGTTTCTCTAATTTAGCCCACTACCAAGCTCTAATATATATTATTGTGGGATTTATTATTGTATTGATAAATTTTGGTATTAAAATGCATTTGTAATTTTTGATTTATTTTGATTCTCAATGTGGGAAGCCTAATTTTTAATAAAAACATCATTCAATAAAGGTATATAAGTGATACCCATTGAACATTTTTATATGGACAATACTTACCTACTCATCAATGAATATGTGCTCTCTTTTAACTACTGAACAAAATAAATTTAAATATTTTATTTCAAAATACCAAATTATCTTTCTTAAATAAACAATTCTTCACTTGAAGAAATTCCGAAAAATATCGAATGCACTCCGAAACTCCATTTGGAATCTAAAAAATTATAGAAACATTCACTTTTGTTCTTGAAATTGTTCATTCTCTATTATGTCCCCTTCTCTGTAGAAGTCCCACAATACAAATCACAGTGCTACTGAGTCAACGTAATTGTAGTACCTACTCTGTTTTGGTTGGTGCTGTTGATCTTCATTAAACTTTAAAGATTTTATTGCTACAATTTTGTTTCTGTTTCTGTGGATTTTAAGAAGAAGATGAGAATATTTTTAGTTTTTTGGACTGTACTTAAAAGATTTGAACCCACTATGCGTAGTCCCAAACACTGAGTGCAAAGCAATCGATTTTCTTGAATTGTGAGATCCCATCCAATCTTTTTGATTTGATAATTCATTCGTTAAATAATTCATTCACATTGAATAAATTAAATTATATGCTGCCTGTTTGCTCAATCAATTTCGACAAAAAAAAAAAAAAATGAAAATGAACAGTTACATTTACATTTGGTTATTGTTAGGAGCCATGTATTGTGTGAATAAATTATTTATTTATTTATTTTTTTTAAAGTACGTGTATCGGTCCTACAATATACATTTGGTTACAATTACATTTAATTATTGTTAGGAGCCATGTATTGTGTGAATAAATTATTTATTTATTTTTTTTCTTTAGAGCACGTGCATCGGTCCCACAATATATGCACTATTCAAATAAGGAATGCCGTTTGAACAACGATTCTCGATGCATATGTAATTATTTTGCTCAATTCAACCAAATTGAAGATACATTTTTAAAATAGACAACTTTATTATTTAGTACTCCTAACTCAACTTTAGTGTAATTTTTTCTTATGAATATTGACTCCCCGAAAGCAATTGTACTTCAAATTATAAATTTACTGAGAATCCAAACTCTGAAATGAGACCCAAAAAAAAAAAAAAAAAATTCATTCAAAATAAGAAAGAAAGAATAATTAACTCATTTACTTTATCAAATGGTAAATTTATTTAATTTTAATATTGTTTACAAACATGCTCGTCTAATATATACTTTTCACTTCGCCATTAGCTTAATTAGGATAACTGCTCCTCCCTCCTTCGGAAGGGAGGTACGTGAGACATTTATTGGTGTGTGTAATTATTTTCGTAACCGAAAAAAAATAATATTGTAATGCTTTTCAAATAAGGCCAATACGATGTGATTACTCCACTAATTTTTTTTGTGCTCTTAGTGTCCATCTTTTACCATATTTTCCCATTAATCATGATTAAGCAAAGAAAAAAATGCCTATAAGTTCTGTCCCTTAGTTGTAATGTTCATTGCCTGGATTACATAAGTGGGAAGAAGGAAAATCAGGTATTCTAGGAAACATTGTTAAGTCTATGAGATATATTTTTGTAAATTGACATATTTCGGTAACAAAACAAGTCCTAGTCGAGTTGTAATTTCAGTTACCATATTAGACTTGACATCGACTGCGGAATTCAGAGGTTGACGGAAGAGAAAAGTATTGTTGATCGTTGAAAAGGTAAGAAGGACAATTTAGACATCGTTTCCCTCTTATTTCCACTTAGGACACAATAATATACATGGTATATTTTCAGAGTTACCAAAATATAGACAATCCAAGTTCAGGTTGGAGTCTGTCAAGTGGGAACCGGTTCAAGATTTGGGAACCGGTTCCAGAGGCTAATACTCGAAGGATAATTCTTTGCCAAGTGGGAACCAGTAGCAGAAATGGGAACCAGTAGCCAAATACGTCGGAAAGGCTTCTGATCTTTTTGAACCAGTAGCCAATTTGGGAACCGGTAGACTTGAACCGGTCGCCAAATTGGGAACTGGTAGCAACAGTCCTGACAGCATTCGAACTTTCAGTTTCCTGTTCTACTGAATCCCTTTTTGATTCCACTTTCCTTCTAAAGTCTTATGCACGAAATTTCCCTTATTTTTAAGAGGAATAGGACTTTGCAAACCTCTATATAAACCATGTCATATACAAGGTTTATTTAACGGCTTTTGTTATACAGATTCAATATTTTTAAAGCCTTAGGAAGAAAATCCCTCTCAGAAAATCAAAGTTGATTTTTCTGTAGTCTTCCTAGAACATACACATATTCACCTAGTTAGGTTAGAGTTGTGGAGTTCGAATCCTGATCGTGATCAGACAGTTGTAACAACATCGATTAGACAAAACACATCTTCTTCTAAATCATTTAGACAGTTGAAGAATAGAGGTAAATGCAATCACACTTTTGAAAGGGTTGGAGCATTCGTGGAGTGTTATCTGATTTACCTGCTACTCTTCTACAAATATCAAGTGTCAATCTAAGATCAAGTTGTTGTTGGACGAGAAGTCGCAAAGCCAGAGGATCGTCAGCGGTTGGTGTGGGTAGAACGATAGGGTGTGAGCCAGAGTCAAAGTTTGGTATACTTTATTTCAAGTATAGTGGATTGGTTTACTTTGGACTGCACAGTCCACGAGGTTTTTCCCATAATAGTTGACGTATTTTATCAATTGGGGTTTCCTCGCTAAAATCCTGGTATCATCTCTAACTTTATACTTTGCATTATTTTATTTGCATGTGATTAACTGTTTAATTGTTAAAACATAAAATAAGCAAAGTTGTTAAGGACACAGATTTGTTTTCTAGAACAAACTAAGACTTTCTAAGTAATTTCCGCTGCGTACAACTCACAATTTGGTATCTGAGCAGATTTTTATACATTGAGTTGATCCTTGTTGGAAAGTTTAGTTTTGTTGTTTGTTTTCAAAAATTGTTTTTGACATCATGTCTTATGCATTGAAAGAAGGTGGTTCTAATCAACGTGGTCCTTTATTTGAAAGAGATAATTACAATTTTTGGAAATCAAAGATGAGAGTCTATTTGCAAAATTCTAGTAGTAAAACTTGGGCTATAGTTGAAACTGGCTATACACCTCCTACAGTAGATACAACTGTGGATGGTAAAATAGTCAAAGAGTTAAAAGATACTTTTGTTTTTGCTGCTATTGAAACTGAGCGTAATGATGCTACTGGCAAAGCTTTATATTCAATTATTAATTCTGTTGTTCCATCTGAATATGCTAGAATTTCTGATTGTAAAGCTGCTAAAGAAGCTTGGGATATTTTGCAGGTTACCTATGAAGGAACTTCAAAAGTGAAGTTGTCCAAAATCCAGTTGCTCTCTTATAAATTTGGCAACATTGTGATGAAAGAAGATGAATCATTTTCTAACTTTTATTCTAGTCTTCTTTTAATAATTTCTAAACTGCGTCACTTAGGGAAAAAAGTTAGTGATAAAAAAATCTGTGAGAAAATCTTAAGGTCTTTACCTAAAAGATTCAAATTAGGGTTGAAACCATCTCTGAACATTGGGATTTGGCTACTTGTCAAGTTGATGAGATGGTAGGTTCATTAAAAACTTTTGAGATACAAAATTTTGATTTAGGTCAGAAGGAGAAAAATCTTACATTGAAATCTACACAGGTTGAGAATTTTGTGGATGACAACTCTGATGATGATCTTGCATTCTTGTCAAGACAATTCAGTCAGATTTTGCAGAGACAACAGAGGAGAAGGAATAGCAACATAGCTAATCCTCAAAACTTTGACAAAACATCAAAGTTTAGGTTTAATGAAAAGAAATTAGAAGAATCGAAAGAAACTAAATTCACATGCTGGAATTGTGGTGGCAAAGGCCATACATCCACTGTTTGTCCTAGTCCTAAGAAAGAACAAAAGGATAAGAATAAAGGGAAAGCAATGAAAGTTTCTATGTCTGAAAACTTTAAGTGATAGTGTTTCTCCTCAGGATAATTCTAATGATTATTCTTATATCGCTTTTCTTGATAGAGGTCCTCATGTCATGTCTTTATCTGATTCTGATATTTCAGATAACGAAGCCAATGACGTTCATGATGAACAGGTACAAGAGGCTGAAAAGGACGACGAAAGATTGAAGAAGATGGTCAAAGAAACCATTGAAGTCAAACAGGCAATCAATAAGCTAGCAAAGGAGCTTATCCAAGCAAAAGGAGAGAATGAAGATCTAAAGAAAAAGATTGATGAAGGAAAAAGGAAAGCTTTTGAAAACGATTCTGTCATCACTGAGTTTGAAAAACAAATCATCATTCTGGAGGATAAGATAAGTGTTGCTAACTCATTGAAAGAATGTCTTGCTTTAAAAATTGATTATCTTGAAATTGAATTGAAATATGAAAATAAACTGAAAGGATTCAATTTGAGTCATAACAGTTTGAATAAGATAATCAACATGGGTAAGGATGTAAATGATAAAACAGGGTTAGGATTTGTTAAAGGTTCTTCTGATAATCAAGGTAAAACAACTTTTGTTAAACCTATTATTATGCCTAAACCATGTTTGCTTGATGCATCACATTCTGATATGCCTTATGTGCCTAAATTGTTGCATTGCACTTTTTGTGGAAAGAATGGACATAAATATAAATCATGTATTCACAAGAAAAAGAAAGGCTTTTCTAAAAATCATTCTCAAAATCCTTATGCTAAGAGAAATGTGCGTTCTAGGAAGAAAAAGAATGTGTCACCTAAGGTTTCTAAAACTGAAATTTTGCCTAAGGGAAAGGTAAAGAATGTAAAAGAATTTCAAGAATTGAAAGTGAGAACTATTTGGATCAAAAAGTCTGATTTGATCAAGTATGTGCCTGTTGAGTCCTTGGAACAAGTTTCCAAAAGGACTTCACCTTCAAACTGAGTCCTATGAATTTTAGTGATCATGGTTTGCTTTTAAAAGAAAATGTTGTTGCCATTGGATCACTTGTTAGGGTTTGGTTTAGGTTTGAGTTTTTTTATTATAGTCTTCATGATATATTTGAGAAAATTCTTTCATTGAATTATGATCTATCTTTGGGTGCAAATTGGACACATGATTTTTGATTGAAAATAGATTCTTGGCTTGTAATCTATACAATGAAAGTTCATTTGCATTGTTAAGGGATGTTTAGATTTTAATTTCTTATGTTCATAACCTTTTGTGCACTAGTCCAAATCTGAAAATTTTGATTGAAAATCTTTAATTTGTTGACTAGGGTATATTGATCATAAAAGCTATAAAGGTTATTGTTTAAAAAAAAATAGGAGCTTTAAAAACAAAATGAAAAAAATTTCAGCTTGAAAAAGAAAAAGAAAAAAAATGCTGAATTCTTTGTTTAAGAAAAGGCTACCAATTGAGATGTGGTCGAAAGCTCCCATGAGACTTTGAAGTGGAGTTAAATGAGTAAAAAGAAAGGTAAAGACAAGTTGAATTGGGGAATTGCTGTCTGCTCTTTAGAGGAAAGCCACCTAACGTAGAAAAATTGCTCAAAGACAATTTTATCTTGATGCTTTTCGATCAATATGGTTTAGACAATGATTTACTGATAATTGATTGGAAATTGAGGAGATGGATTGCACACACACACTTGAACTTGCTAGATTGATTTCTAACTGTTTCATTAATATTTGCAAGTATAAATTCATGTTGTGATTACTCCCTGAGGATTGAAATTGACTGACTACTTTGTGGTGTCAAGAATTTTTGTTCATAGATATCTCTATAATTCTCTGGGAAATTGGATCAGGTATGGACTTGAAAAACTTTGGTTAAATTGCGCAATGATTTGTGTTTAGTTTTATTTTTTTTGAAAAGGAAAAATAAAAAAAATTCAAAAAATTCAAAAAGATTTTTTTTACATTAGTTTTGTTAATGTTTGGTTTGATCATTGAGTGTTTCACAAAGTCGAAAAAAAAAATTCTAAAAATTTTCAAGTTAAGAAACCATATTGTCCATTACCTACCGATCCCCATGGCTCCTACCAGTTCTCAGTTAAAACCTTCGAGGTTCTAGTTTCTGGAGGCTTGGTACCGGTACATGATTCTCCTACCAGTTCAACAGTGGTTCAAACCATGTTGAAGTCAATGCCAAGTGGGAACCGGTATCCATTTTGGCAACCGGTTCCTGGCAGCGAGAATGAGCTTTAAAGTTTCACTTTTTGCTCTTTGTTGGATCATATTGCATAAACCCATTCTCTCTCTAGAGTACCCACTTTTGCTCTTTATATTACTCACATATATTCACATCTTCAAATGCATTATTCTCATAATATTGTTGCTTACATTCAATCATATATTGTTATCTTTGTATCAACATAAAGAATTGAAGATTGAAGCTTGGAAGTTGAAGAGAATTTGTGGAGTTTAGAAGTTTGAGAAACTTAGAGATTGAGACTTATTTATGTTGTGATTGAAGCTTTGCTTGCTTTGATATTGGGTTGATTGTTGGGGTTTTGAAGAATCAAATCAAGCTTGTCCAAGAACAAGTGTTGAAGTTCACACTAAGTGTTTGAATTCTCAAGAGAAGTTGGAAGCTTCAAAGTGAAGAATTGTGTGAAAAACATGGCATCTCAATTACTCAAAGAAGCCAAAGGTAAAGGAATTGAGATTCCGGAAGCTCCCAAGCAAGCTAGAACTAGTATTGTCATCGTGCTGCATGTGTGATAAAATGGATGCGCAGTTTGATGAGGATGGTGATAAGAATGATGGTGGAGAGTATTGATTTCTTTCTGACATTATTTCTGGACATACTAATGCTTGATATTTTGTCCCGCATCATGACATTACTTTTTGCTCAGTTTTTACATTGTCATAACTTGATATTTTTGGATGTTTTTTTTTTTTTTGCTCTTTGATATGTATGAAACTCTTACTTGGTTTACTCTGTTTTCCTGTTATTTCTCTCTAATTTTTGTGTTATTACTTTGTCAATTTTGATCCAAAAAAGGGGAGAACAAGGGTTATATTAAGGGGGAGAAGTTTTTAATTCAGGGGGAGTTTTTAATTGGTTTATTAAGCTTTCATTGGTAGTTTTGCTTGATCCATGTGCAGGAATTCAGGTGAAATTTTGTCCAATAGTAGAAGAGAACAGAGATAAACAAATTCCGTGTTTCCTTAAACAATTGTAATTTATTTTTCTGCTTTGGGTAGATTATAAATTGTTTTTTGGGTTTTGTCATGAAATTGCCAAAGGGGGAGATTGTGAGATATATTTTTGTAAATTGGCATATTTTGGTCACAAAACAAGTCCTAGTTGAGTTGTAATTTCAGTACCATATCAGACTTGACATCGACTACGGAATTTAGAGGTTGACGGAAGAGGAAAGTATTGTTGATCATTGAAAAGGCAAGAAGGACAATTTAGACATTGTTTCCCACTTATTTCCACTTAGGACACAATAATATACATGGTCTATTTTCAGAGTTACCAAAATATAGACAATCTAAGTTCAGGCTGGAGTCTGTCAAGTGGGAACCGATTCAAGATTTGGGAACCAATTCCGGAGGCTAATACTCGAAGGATAATTCTCTGCCAAGTGGGAACCGGTAGCAGAAATGGGAACTAGTAGCCAAATACGTCGGAAAGGCTTCTGATCTTCTTGAACCGGTAACCAATTTGGGAACCGGTAGACTTGAACCAGTAGCGAAATTGGGAACCGGTAGCAACAGTCCTGACAGCATTCGAACTTTCAGTTTCTTGTTCTGCTGAATCCCTTTTTGATTCCACTTTCCTTCTAAAGTCTTATGCACGAAATTTCCCTTATTTTTAAGAGGAATAGGACTTTGCAAACCTCTATATAAACCATGCCATACACAAGGTTTATTTGACGGCTTTTGTTATACAGATTCAATATTTTTAAAGCCTTAAGAAGAAAATCCCTCTCAAAAATCAAAGTTGATTTTTCTGTAGTCTTCCTAGAACATACACATATTCACCTAGTTAGGGTAGAGGTGTGGAGTTCGAATCCTGATCGTGATCATACAGTTTTATCAACATCGATCAGACGAAATAAATCTTCTTCTAAATCATTCAGACAGTTGAAGAACAGAGGTAAATGCAATCACACTTTTGAAATTGTTGGAGCATTCATGGAGTGTTGTCTGATCTACCTGCTACTCTTCTACAAATATCAAGTGTCAGTCTGAGATCAAGTTGCTGTTGGACGAGGAGTCGCAAAGCCAGAGGATCGTCAGCGGTTGGTGTGGTGTAGAACGATAGGGTGTGAGCTAGAGTCAAAGTTCAACATACTTTGTTTCAAGCATAGTGGATTGGTTTACTTTAGACTGCATAGTCCACGAGGTTTTTCCCATAACAGCTGACGTATCTTATCAACTGGGGTTTCCTCGCTAAAATCCTGGTGTTATCTCTAACTTTATACTTTGCTTTATTTTATTTGCATGTGATTAACTGTTTAATTGTTAAAACATAAAATAAGCAAAGTTGTTAAGGACACAGATCTGTTTTCTAGGACAAACTAAAACTTTCTAAGTAATTTCCGCTGCGTACAACTCACAAAGTCCATTTTAGTTGTGTTTGCATTTATAAATATTTGTATTTCTTTAGTGAAACTTGTTATATTACTTTTTGGGGTTGATTTAAATAATTACTGATTTAAAGTGCAGTTTGATCATAACGAAGACGATGTCGCTCTTGGTTATATTCTGCATGGGATTGCTTATAGTATGCCTTCAAGCACATAGCGAAAGGCCTACACCAGATCATGCAGAACTTGCCGTACGTTCGAAAATTAGAAGGAATTGCAAATGAAAGTGATACGAACTATGATAACAAAGATGATGAAGCCTGGGCTGACCTTAATAATTACCATTTAGAAACAGAAAAAAACCGGGCTAGGCTTAATAATCGCAGTTATAGCCAGGGGGGCTTACCTTAATAATCCCAGTAATAGCCCCCGCTCGAGTGGGTGAGTTTAGAAAATGGTATGTTAGTCGTGTGATACAGGGGAACAATAGTCTTCTAGTGTGTGTACCATGTGTGGTTCTTTATTGAAAGGCTTCGATATATAAGCTTTTATCTTTTGGATTTGCAACTTTTTATTCACCAATCGATCAGATGCACTTGTATGTCAAAGCAGTTACTGCAAATCAATTTCAACAATAAAAACATAGTTGAGTTCCATAGACAATTTTATTACGATAGATGACAAAAAAATGAAAAAGAAAAAAAAAGAAAGAAAAAATTTGGGCAAGTACTTGCCAATGATTATATATAGTTGAGTTCCATCCCTTGCTTCCCTTGCTTATTACATAATCAATGACTATGACGTACGATGATGATTGCATAATTAGCACCAAATCTATATCATGTCCACCAGCTTGTTACCAATCTGAAAAGCAGCATAAGCCTCGGTGATTGCGTACTTCATGTGAGAAAGCCTTTGCTAACCAATTAGTAGAATTCGAACTTCCTCCCCTGGTGGATTCAACTATTTCTACCCCAACTCCGCCAACGCAAGCCTTGCAAGGTCTGGCTTCTTAAGAGCCTTAGCAACCAAATCACCTAACGCAACTCCTGTTTTGAATTCGGGTTCTTTCACAGAAAGAAGATAATGTTTCATTATACGGTCTATACCAATTCTATAAACAAGAAACTTTATGATTCATTCCAACACCCACAAAACAGATGTTCTGATCGATCGGAAAGAAACAGCTTGAGAGACTCTGGTCTTGAATCCAGATATAGCATTTGAATGATCAAACAGTCACTTCCCCCATATAGTATCAATATCAAAGGCCAATCGCAAGACCTTCCTGTACCCGCCTTATTGTCGATTCCCACGACCTTTGTCACACCCCAAATTTTAACACAGAGACTTTTTGTCTTGTGTGTCAAATCTGATGTATAACTTCCACTGATTCTCAACATGCATCCATTATAAAATATAACTATAATGAATCTCTTTCATCCAATTTATTAAACATGAGTGTCTGACAAACATATTTCAAATCCATAAATAGAGGTGAAATTCCCTCTAACATAACGAAACATCTATGACCACTTAATCAACTCGATAAAGTTTCATAAAACATTAACTTTATTACAATAATCATAATAAAGGAAAATTGAGCTAAAACAAATCAATGCGCAACGAGCTAAAATCCGTCCCCGTCATGTATCTCCATCACGTTCCTACTCTACGAGCACCTGAAATGTGATTATGGGGTGAGCTCATAAACTCAGCAAGAAATGCCAATCCCAATCATCGTTCAGCAGGCTAACCTTACCTTGTATTTCCATATATATAAGCAACTCAATAAATGTATTAATTAAATATGCATATCCCAATTAATTATGAACTCTACAATAACCATCATTTATTTTTAATAAATTCACATATCTCACATGAGCCCTGGGCTCCCATCCAATAAAGTAGGGTGAATCGTATAATCCCTGACTACCGAAAACACATGTGTGGTTGGATTGTACGTCTACTCCCCAGATGATCCCTAATCACATCCACACAATAAGGGCTCATTAGACCCATGGCTATAATAAAAGGGTAGTGCACTCCCAATTAGGCAGGTCCCTGACCATACCCAAAAGTCAACATAGGGTTAGTCCCTGACTATCCCTCCGACTAATCCAAACTCATCCATTAATTATTAGTTACGGTGAAATATGAAAGACATTATTATAACAATAATTAATGCACCCAAATACCCTTTCAATTAACTTTTTTTTTTTTTTTTTTTTTTTTTTTAAAAAAAAAAAAAGAAACATTACACTAAAGACCCAACTAGTGAGAGTATAAAAATTCTTAAAACAACTTAACACTAGGAATAAGTCCTTGTAAAATTATAGTTTTCCATACTCTCCATTATAGTACTGAAAAAAAATAATCTGTATATATATATATCAGATTTTAAATTGGTAAAACTACCTCACCATCATTTCAAAATCCGCAAGCCCTCACAATTTAAGCTTATAACATTTAAATCTAATTTTTTGAAAAGGTATCATAATTATTGAAAACTTAATAATATTTTCCTCCAATTTCTCTAACTTTTAAATACTAACAAAATATATAAAAATAATAATTAATTAAATGATTTAAAGCAAAAACAACCTGTTCCAAATTTCACTACCAGTCACTATTAATCACTTTTCTAACTTAAATCCCATTGTTTCCACTATTATATCATGGCTTCATTTATACATTCACCCATCTAGTTTATTAAACTAGAATTTTTAAAGAAAGTATAAAAGTCAATGGACCCACCACACAATTCATGTCTCTCAATTTACATCTAATTCCTAACTGACCTAGTAAACTTAAACAAATACAACTGACATTCTGTTCCTTGATTCGGTTCATCAATAAAGTCATGGTATCAAGTAGTTTCCTACCAGGATTATATTTATATATAAATAATATATACACAAAGCTTATATATATATATATATCCTAACCATCTGTTCCTACTTTTCTAGTTACTTATTTACATAATGGAATAGGAAGAGTTCAAAGATAAGATTTATATTTACTCAGTGACTATTAATTAAATCTGATAATAAAAATAATCAGTCAAGAATCTTTAGGAATGGATTATAAAGGTAATGGATTATAATAAGTCTAATTTATACGTCCAAAGCTAAACATAAAGTGATCAAATAAGAATTCGACAGATGCTTCACACACATACATGTCACATATATATCCCTTAATCAAAGTTATAACAGTACAATTACAATTGGGTTCTATGATCAATCATACCCATATGCTCTAATAAGGAATCAAATTTTTGCAATTCTATGCATATAAGTTCACTAAGAAATTAATATATCCAAGTTACGAATATATGTAAAATTACAAAGCAAGATTAACTTGCCTGAGGTATAATTAATTCTTCCTTCCTACGCGAATTCCCACTTATCGTTCCTTCCCTTGGCTACTGTAGAAAGACACAATGTCAGATCACTCTCTCTGGTCCCTTCCTTTCCCGTTATCGTGCTAATATTTTTTTTTATAAAAAAATCGCAGTGAAGAGTTATAGAGATATAGGGAGTCAAGTGAGATAATATAGCGATTTAAATTTTTTTAAAATTTAAATTAGTTAACCAACTCTATCATAATGTCCTATTTAAATTTAAACAGAGATAACAATTAAATTAAATTAAATTAATAAATATATGTATATGATATATATTTTTTTTTACACGGGTTTTACATTCTACCCTCCTAGAAAGAAATTTTGTCCTCGAAATTTGTGTACCTTATTCGAATAAATGTGGGTACTTTCTCTTCATTTCTGACTTTAGCTCCCAAGTAGCCTCTCTCTCGTCCTCATGATTCCACTGCACTTTCACCAGAGGTGTCTCTGCCCGCCTCAACTATTTCACCATACTGTCAACAATGCGAACAGGTGTCTTAACATAGGTTGCATTAGGACGAATCTGGACCTCTGTGCAGTTAATGGCCTGAGTTTCATCCCTCAAGCACCTCCTCAACATGGAGACATGGAAAACATCATGAAAACAGATAGTCTGGGTGGTAAAGCCAATCTATACGCCACCTTTTATCTCAAAAGGTCCAATGAATCGAGGAGCTAGCTTCCCTTTTTTCCTGCCAAATCTCGTAACCCCCTTTATTGGTGATATTTTCAAGAACACCAAGTCTCCCACACTAAACTCCAAAGCTCGACGACGTCGATCTGCATAACTCTTTTGTCGACTCTGAGCTGTGTGAAGTTGATCTCGAATGATGGCAACCTTCTCTGTAGTCTCTTGCACCAACTTTGGCCCCAAAAAACTACCATCACCAACCTCACCCCAACATACAGGTGAATGACAAGGTCTACCATAAAGTGCCTTATACGGTGCCATGCCGATACTAGCCTGATAGTTGTTATTATAAGCGAACTCAACCAGTGAAATGTGGTCCTCCCAATTGTCCCTAAAATCTAGCGTGCAAGCACGAAGCATATCCTCCAACACTTGAATGACCCTCTCGGACTGGCAATCGGTCTGAGGATGAAAAACAGTACTCAAACTCAAAGGAGTACCAAAAGCTGTAAGGAAACTACTCCAAAATCGAGATGAAAAAAGAGGATCACGATCTAAAACAATAGACACCGACACTCCATGGAGCTTAACTATGTCTCTGATGTAGATCTTACATAATTCCTTTACAGTATCAGTAGCTCGAATGGGTAGAAAATGAGCTGATTTAGTCAATCTGTCCACTATCACCCACACTGTATCATGGTTATGTATCGATCTCGGTAACCCCACAACAAAATCCATCGTCACATGCTCCCATTTCCACTTAGGCATAGGCAAAGGCTGTAATAGTCCTACTGGTCTCTAGTGCTCAGCCTTCACTCGCTGACAAGTGAAACATCTAGATATAAACTCTGCCACATCACGTTTCATGCCTTTCCACCATAACTGCCTCTTAAGATCATGATACATCTTAGTGCCACCTGGGTGCACTATGATCTCTCTCTTGAGGTCTCCTAAATCTGGAACATATAGCCTACCTCGAAATCTTATACCACCATTAACTCCATACGTCTTACATTAATTATTAACAGCCTCAACTGCTTTGGTCTGTAACCTGTCATCCTGAGTCTAAGAATGAATGATCCGGCTGATTGAAGTAGGTTGTATAGTCAAACTACAAAGAAGAGCCCCTATACTCTGAGAACTCGGCATGATAGAAAACTCTGCCAATGCTTCT